GGAGAGAAGATCAGAGAAGGGAAGAGGAAGAGGAAGAGGAAGAGGAAGAGGAACAGGAACAGGAACAGGAACAGGAACAGGAACAGGAACAGGAACAGGAACAGGAACAGGAACAGGAACAGGAACAGGAACAGGAACAGGAACAGGAGTTGATTTTTAACTTCACCTAGAATGTCGAACAAGTTCCAACCACTGAAAAAGAAATCTCTGGGGTACGAGTAAGTCAAACCATCGAAGCAGGAGACAGAAGGCATTCAAGAGTGTTGGTGACTTGGGTTATTGCGAGCAAACATTGTAGATGCATTCTATCAGTTTGCTAACAAGACAAGGACATTCTCTTGCCAGGGATTGTGTTCGTAGGTGAAGTACAACAATGCAATGTTAAAGAGCAACGTATCTTTCAATAACTCCTCGCCAGTGTGTCGACAACATCGTTCAAGTGCAACAAAGGCAACAAACACGCATGGCGCTCGTGTACACACCTGAACCAGTTGGCAAACGCGTTCAGCGACAGTTCGATAGTGAAGATTCTGACAGCGCAAGACCAACATGTCACTTGACCCGCCCGACGCAACAAGACAAACTCTTCACAACACACATGGTGAAAGCCAACTCGAGCTCCTGCAAGGTACGAAACGTCAACCATCCCCACCCGCACGATCCGTCGATCTCACATCAAGAGTGTGGTACAACGATGAATCTTGCGCCGGCTGGGAGGAATCTAGTTCAGAGCACGTTGCAGACACGGCTCCCGATAGCTTCACCTGCACCTCAACTTCTACGATCTTGCTCACGAAGTTTGCGATAATGACGAACGCAATGAGTCCCTGTCAACAGATCTCAACGGTCGGAACCGAGTGAACTTGTCAAAATCTTGCCTGCAAGGGATCCGAGTCGTAAATCTTTCTTGCCTTGCTCTGAAGGACAAGGAGAGATGAACCCCTGAGGCGCTAAAAGACAGCTTAAAGCTCATGTTCGCCATCATTTCCATCCTCTCAGTCATATCGTCATCTCCATCATCATCATCGTCGTCGTCGTCGTCGTCATCATCATCATCATCATCATCTCCATCATCATCATCATCATCATCATCATCATCATCATCTCCTATCTCCATACATCATCCTCGTCAT